CCACCCACCCACCCATCCATCCATCCACCCATCCATCCATCCAGCATTTATTGAGGGCCTACTATGTGCCTGCACTGTGCGGATGAGGGATAGACTGGGGACTAGACAGGTGTCTCTCGGCCCCCACCCTCCCTCATTCCTGCTTCCACCCTCTCCTTGGGAAAATCTCTGTCCCGGGAGATCCAGGGACTAGGAGAAGTTGACGGGGGCGCAGATCTGGGCTTCAGTGGCGTCTCTGCAGAGGCTCCAGTCCCTCCCACCATGTGGAAAATGTGAAAACCTGTGGTTTCCCTCCCAGGACTGAGGCCAGTGGGCTGGGCTTCTGGAGCCTTCAAAAGTGGCTGGTGGTGAAAACATTTCCTCTGAGACCATTCCTGTGGGCCATGTGTGTGTGGTCTCACACTCGATCCTGTGTCTCATCCTTTCTCCATACTCCCCAGGCCCTGTCCCTCTCCTGCTCAGAACCCCCAGGGCTTTCCAGGTCAAGCCCACCCTTCTCACCATTGCAACCCAGCCCCTGCCCTGCCCCGCCCTGCCCTGTGTGACTGGCCCTGCCAACCCCCAGGCCCCTCCCGCCGCTGTGCCCTCGCACCCCAGCTCCAGCGCCGGGACCAATACCTGGCTGCTCTCCGACCAGGCCGTGCTTGCTCCTTCAGCTCCAGGCCTGTGCCCGGGCTGTGCCCTCTGCCCGAACCCCTTCCCTCTCCCCTTCCCCCTGCTCATCCCGCAGGTCTCAGCTCCGACCCTGCCTCCTCCGGGGAGCCTGCCCTGACTCCCTCTCCAGGGGCAGGAGCCTGATCTCCTGATGGGTGGCCCCCCTCTCGCCCCACTGTCCCCTCACTCGCTCTGCCCCGGCCTCCCCAGCCTCCTCGCTGCTCTGCAGCGCTCCTTTCCTTCCTGGTTCAGGATGTTGGCACCGGCTGTTCCTTCTGCCTGGTGCCCCTCCCTCTGCTCTTCCCACGCTGGCTCCTCATCCTGCGGGTTCCAGCCTAAGCCGTGAGCCCCCCGCCCCCTCGCCCGTTCCAGCTTGCGTTTGTCGCCCCTCCGAGCACCCGCTGACATACTGCTCTTCACCCAGTTCTCTTGTCCGTTGTCTGTCTCCCGCGCTAGAGTGTCCGTCCACTCCGCGAGGACCCTGAGGGTTTTGTGTTTTCTTCACTGCTGACTCCCTGGCCCAGAACAGTCGGGGCGTCGAGTGAGAAAATTAGCTGCTCATTAGGTGAATGAAGAAAAGCTTGTAGGTGCCGTGGGAGGGTTTGGCTGAGACTGTCCAAGGATGACCCCGTGACCCGCTGTTTGCTGCCCCCAGAGCCGGCTACCTGACTCTCTACGGAGTCGAGGCACTGCCACGCACCCCTCAGAGCCAGGCCCAGGACCGCGTCCACTCAGCCGACGTCTTCCACACCTTCCGCCAGCTCGACCTGCTGCTCCCCAAGCTGGCACGTGGCTCCCTGTCAGTGGGTAAGCACCGTGGGGCCCTGGCGGGTGGTGGGGCAGACAGAGGGACCCAGAGGGGGAGTCCACGCTCAAGCTGAAGGAGCATAGGCAACATAGGAGGAAGGACATCTATTGCCCTGGGAGGCAGTGAGATCCCCGTCCCTGGGGGTGTGCGAGAGCACAGTGGCGGGGAGGCAGGGCTTGGACCAGAGCTGGGGCTCCTGGTGGAAATTGACACAGCACAGCTGGAGCGGGGCCTGGGGACCACTCTTGCACGTGTCTCTCGGTGCTCACACGCCCTCGCTGCTCCTAGTTGTTGGCCCTGTGCTTTTATAACGTGGACGCAGCGCGCTGGAGGATTGTCCTGCGCTTCGGGCTGAACTCCACGCCAAGAGCGTCTCCACATCAGTTGGTACAAACCCACCTCGTTCATTTTCGTGGCTACAGAGGGGACTCAGGATTGGTAAAGAGCTTCCTGCTGGATTCAGTGTGCAGGGGCAGTGGGAACCACTGGGCTGCACTGTCCCCTGGCCACTGTCCCCAGTAAGAAGGATCCTCTGGGGCCCTTAGAAGTCCCCCAGCCCCATCCCGGTCCATTTGAATCCGAATCTCCACGGAGGCTGGGAAACTGCATGTTTGACAAGTGCCAGGAGAAGGTTGAGAAATACCGTGTCTGGTCTCAGACACTCGCAGCCAGGCCTAGATTCAGATTCCTAGCCTGCTGCTTCCTTGCTGGTGATTTGGGGCACATTATTTAACTTCTTCTGCCCCAGTTCCTTCCTCTGGAGGGGCAGTTGAGGGGAGTGGTTAAGACAGACTCTGGGCTCAGATGCTTGAGGTGGTTTACCGACTCCTAGGTGGTCTCTCTGTGCCTCGGTGATCTCACCTGCAAAGTGGGGAGAACAGTGAGTTCCTCCTAGAGGGGGCTGTTAGGATTGGCTGAGGCAGCAAGAAAAAACCCTATTTGTGGAGCACTTTCTATGTGCCGGATCCCAGACCAATCATTGTCTCGTTCAGTACTCACAACAGCTCATCACCTCAGTTCCTTTATTTATATTCATATATATTTTTTTAATTTTTATGTATTTATTTTTTTCCCCCAAAGCCCCAGTAGATAGTTGTATGTCATAGTTGCACAGCCTTCCAGTTGCTGTATGTGGGACGTGGCCCCAGCATGGCTGGAGAAGTGGTGTATCAGAGCTCTCCCGGGACCCGAACCCGGGCCGCCAGCATCGGAGTGCGTGCACTCAACCGCTAAGCCACGGGGCCGGCCCTATATTCATATTTAAAATCAAACTTTAACACATTGGAGTGTTTAAATTAGGAAAGACACATATTCTCGTGGTTAACACTTCATAGACGTAGACAGTAAAAAGTAATAATACTCGCTCTTCCAAAGCCAGCTTCCTGTGGAAACCAGTGTGGATGTGCTGATATATATCCCTTCACAGTATTTTGTAGGGGCATTGTATTTTGCAAATAGAGACAAATATACACACCTAGAATGTCTCTCTCTGTATTTACAGAAAGGGATTATATTATTTGCAACTTTTTTTAACCTAAAAATATAGCTACTTTCTCCCCTGTCAATACAACCATCTTCTAGAAGTTTTAGCCAATGCAATTAGATAAGAGAAATCAATTACCGATATAAGAATCGGTAAAGAGGAAATAAAACTCTCCCTGTTTGCAGAGGGTCTGATTCTATACCTGGAAAACCCCAGAAAATCAGTGATAAAACTAACTCAAGCAAAAAAGAATCCAGCAAAGTAGACGGATATAGAATTAACATAAAAAATACATCTTTCTAGCCCCTGCATGTCAGTATTTAGGCAGCCATCCCCCTCCAATGGATATTTATACTTGTTTCCTTTTTGTGTGTACGTGGCTATTGCAGTAATTCGTTGTACTGGTATCTCTTCTACCATCTGGTGATTTTATTTCTCTCTGACAGTTTCCTGGAAGTGGGTTTGCCACATCAAAGGGCGTACACATTAAAATTTTTATTAGCTATTGCCACATCATTTCCAAAACGATGGAGAATTCATATGCCTCCCCAAAGTGCAGGAGCCTGCTCATTCCCCACCAGATTTACCAGTCTTTCCATTTGTTTCTTAATCTGATGGGCAGAGGCGGGTAACTTGTTGTTTTAATTTGCATTTTCCCAGCCTTGCCAAGATGCAGTTATCAGCCTTTAAATCCTTGCCGATCTGATGGGCAAAGAAGGGCATCTGGCTTTATGGGCATTCCCTGACGGCTTCTTGTATCGCACCAGCTGTTTGCTTTTTCTCTCTGTGAGTTGCCTATTGATGTCTCATATCCTTTTAGAGGTAACTCTATCTGTTTGAATCCTGCCATCAATGCTTGGAGGCTGGTATTATGCCCACTTTGAAGATAAGGCTGAAGCTCAGAGAGGTGAAGTCACTTGTCTTAGGTGGCAGAGCCAGCAAAATGGAAACTTGTTCTGATTGCAAAATCCTGTGTGAGAACCACCTGACACATCCCAGAACCGACTGCTTCTCCAGGAAAGAGTGGTTTCTTCATTGCCCTTTCCTCCATACAGATGGTCCGGGGTTGTCCCTGTACATGTAGAAGGGGACCCTCCGTCATTCTGGGAGCAGCCCTGGTTGGGGGTATAGGAAGGCTGCATTTCCCAGTGTGGGCAGCAGGTGCCGATGTTGGGGAAGGTTTCTCATGTCGGGGCAGGAGGCTAGTGGGCAAAGTAGCCCTCAGACCTTGCTGTGGGGCAGGTGAAGCCCTGCGGCCTCTTTGTCAGAGCGATTTGGCAGAACCTATCAAAACATACGATGCACGTTCCTTTGATCCTGTACTGCCACTTCCAGGAATTATCCTACAGAAATGCTCGCACGTGTTTACAGATACACAAAGATATTCATTGCCACGTTGCTTGTGACAGCCAACTCTAGGAACAACCTAAATGTCCACCAGTAGGGCTGATGAAATAAATCATGCATTCATGTAAAGGAAAACCATGCGACTGTAAAACAGAATGGGATGTACTGCTATAGGATGAAACCTACTGTTATGAAAAAGGTGCAGAACAGGGGGTATATGGTGTTTCTTTTCAAATGTGGGAACATGTATAGATTTTTGCCTCTGGGAAGGCTGGGACAGGATTGAGAGAAGCTTACGTTTTACAGTATGCCCATTTGAACTCTTAGAGTTTCTTTCTTTCTTTTTCTTTTATTATTATTATTATTTTTTACCATTTGTATGCATTATTCCTCCTCCACTTTTAAAAATATAAACATATTTTAAAAGAAAAGTGATGCTTTTGGGGACCCTTAGACCATTGAGTCTGGTGCTTCTCATACAATAGGGAGTTGGGGGCAGTAGGGAATTAAATAGAGCCCCAAGCTAAGCATACTGCTTCTTTCTGGAATATTCATTTCACTGGATTATTGGGGGGGGCTGTTTTATTTGAATATTGTTTTTGGGGAAAAGGCACTCTTATATTAAAGAATCATAGAGTCTAATGCAAAAATAGAATGCATTTTAAAGGTAAAAAACAAGACTTTAAAGACATCCCCAGGGGGGCCTCTCTGGCCTGTGCCATCAGGTCTCCAGGGGATAGAGGGGTTTCCAGGGGAAAATTGGAGAGGCACTCAGGCCTGGGCCCCTCGTTTTACAGATGAGGAGACTGAGGCCCAGAGATGGACAGGGCCTGGGCCAAGCCCACACAGCATGGGAGGTCTGGGATTCTCCTCCCTCCAACTGCCTTACCAGTCACACGGGCCTGGCCGTTCTATTCACAGCATTGAGTCATTACACTGGGGCTGATCAACAATACCTTATAATGATGGCAAGAATCTAGCAAGTACAACTTACCAAACCCCTATCAGCACCAAGCCAGTTCTGTGTGTGATCTTTTTGAATCCTCCTAATGATCCTATGAGCCAGGTTGCCCCCATTTTACAGATGGGGAAACTGAGGCTCAGCGATACAAAGTGATTTGCCCAAGATCATCCTTCTAGGATGAGGCAGAGCTGGGATTTCAACCTGGGTCTCTCTGGCTGCGGACTCTATGCTCTTTCTTTCACAATTTATTATTGTTTCTTAATTACAGAAATAATATGTGAATACATTCTCCTGGGACTAATAATGCTAACATTCATTAAGTTTTATTTAATTATATAGTTGACGTTTACTAGGCCTGTGCCAGGCATCACTCTTCGTGCTTTATATGTTGACACATTCAACCCCATGTGGGGGGTATTCATTATCCCAATTTACAGGTGAGAGAACTGAGGTGTGGAGAGGTGGAGGGGACTTCACTGGGCTCCCTGCCTCTTATTTAAAAAAAAAATCAAATATGACACAAAAGGGAAATTCTCTTTTGACCACACCCTCTCTAAATCTATCCCCAAGGTAGCCATTGTGATCAATCTGGTGTTATCCTTCTAGAACAGTGGTGGCCTGTGGAAATAGAATGCAAGCCGCATGCGTAATTTTAAATTTTCTATGAGACACATGACAAAAAAGAAAAAGAGGAAATCAATTTTAATAATATATTTTCTTCGACCAAGTATATCTAAAATATTAACACTTCAGCATGTAATCAATATAAAAATTATTAATGAGATATTTTGCATTTGTTTCTCATACTAAGACTTTGAAATCCGGTGTGTATTTTTCGCTCACAGCACACCTTAATTCGGGCCAGCCACGTTTAAAGAGCTCAAGAGCCATATGTGGCTTGTGGCTTCCCTATTGGACAGAGCAGTTCTAGATCTTTCTCCACACATTAAGCTACAGTGGGAGCCCAAACTATACTGTGATCCCAAATATATACAGCAAACCCCTGTTTTCCCAGTGAAAAGTTTTCCTGTTTTCATTTTGTGGTCAACCTAAACAGAAATAATTAGGATGGAAACGAAATAAGCTTTTCCTTATCGAGGTTGCTGAACTCCTAGCTCAGCTCACACGTTGCGTAAACTAACCGTTGAGAAATGTCACTTTCTTCCCACTCTCACGTTTCGGAAAGGCGTTTTATTCAGACTCCACCTCTGACGTCAGCGTCCTGCCCAGCAGCAGGGTCCCAGGCTGAGTCGCCAAACTCAGTTTTCCAGAACCCCCGCTTCTTCACTCCAGTATCATCTGTTTGAGATACAGAGTGAACTTTTGAATCTATATATAATGTTTCGCTGGAAATTTTGTATTGGGGGAGGTGCCAGATTTTGTGTATGTTTCACATGGTTCAAACATTGAAACTATAAAATAGGAACAGTGAAAAGTCTCCCTCCTTTTATGCAAATGCAAGTGAATCCGACTATATTCTTATTTTTCTCTTTTTTCTACAAATGCACGCCGTGCACACTGTTGCGGGCACTTTGCTTTTTCCTGCGATATGTAGTGGCAGTGTATCTCCTGTGAGATGTAGTGGGTGCACTTCACTGTTCTAAGGACTCTACAGATGTTAACTGATTTGATCCATGGATGAAATCACTGCTATAATTTTTTTACTTTTTTTCCAGTCCGATTTTTTTTTATACAACACCATCTTTGGCTCATTTGCCAAATGACATTCACATACCTCCCTCTTTTTTTTTTTTTAATGGTGATAAGATATGCGTAACATAAAATTGACCATTTTAACCAGTTTTAAGTATGCAATTCAGTGGCAATAAGTACATTCACAATGTCGTGTAACCAGATCGTTATCTATTTCCGGAAGTTTCTCATCGTCTCAAACAGAAGCTCTGTGTCCATTAACCAGTAACTCCCCATCTCCCCCTCCTCTCAGCCCCTGGTGACCTTTATTCTACTTTCTGTCTCTATGAATTTGCCTATTCTAGGTACTAAATATAATTGAATCATACAATATTTCTCCTTTTGTGTCTGGTTTATTTCACTTAGTGTAATGTTTTAAAGATTCATCCATGTTGTAGCATGTGTCAGAATTTCCTTCTTTTCTAAGGCTGAATAATATTCCCTTGTACATATATACTACACTTTATTTATCCAGTTCTTCTGTTGATGGACCCTTGGGTTGTTTCTACCTTTTGGCTGTTGTGAATGGTGCTGCTATGGACACGGATATACAAGTATCTGAGGCCCTGCTCTCAGTTCTTTTGAGCATATATCCGGAAGTGGAATTGCTGGATCATATGGTAATTTTGTTTAACTTTTTGAGGAGCTGCCAACTTTTCCACAGTGACTGCACCATTTTACGTTCCCACCAGCAATGCACAAGGTGCATTCCTTTTTTCCACATCATTGCTTATTATTTTACTTTTTTTTGATACTAGCCATTCTATTGGGTGTGACGTGGTCTCTTATTGTGGTTTTGATTGGCATTTCCCTAATGATTAGTGACGTTGAGCATCTTTTCCTATGCTTATGGGCCACTTGTATATCTTCTTTGGAGAAATGTCTATTCAAGTCCTTTGCCCATTTTTTGATTTGGGTTTTTTGTGGGTTTTTTGGCTGTTGCCGTTGAATTGTAGGAGTTAGTTATATATTCTGGGCACTGGACCCTTATCAAGTATATGATTTGCAGATATTTTCTCCCATGCTGTGGGTCGCGTTTTCATGCTGTGGGGCTTTTTGAAGTCATCCTTAGAAGCTGTGTTTACAGGGATATTCGAGACCTGTGGTTCTACTGTCAGACCTCAGGAATGCCAGTCATTTCTAAATCTGTGTTAAATTTCCTTGCCTCCTTTGTTAGCTGTCCCATCAGATGACTCCTGTTAGCATCCAGAACTAGCATCCACTGAGCTGGCCTCACCGCTTCCTGTGTCCTGCACTCACCTGTTTAAAATCTCTGCATGCCCGGGCCCCGCCCCCAGAGAGTCTGCCAAGATTGGTCTCAGGGGGGACCTGGGCATCCAGAGATTTAAAAGCTCCTGGATGATTCTCCAGTGCCCCAAAAGTTGGGAAACACAGGAAAGTAATGTATTTCAGATGAACAATTAGGCTCATCACTTTAAATGGAGAAGTGTGTCACCTGAAAAGGTGTCTAGAGGTTGTGGAAAAGCATATGGAGCATATTATTTGAAAATGTAACTAAAATACTTAAAAAAAATAAGTTTAGCCTACATTTTACACTCTTTCAAATACTCTGTAATATGCAGCCAGGTTTAGAACAACTGGGTGGATGTGTCTTCCTGTTAACACTGCTTTGTGGTTCAAAAAAGTAGGTAAGAGAGTTTCTAGTGCTTTGGAACTTTGTAGCAACCCAAAATGACTTCCGCTTTTCCAAGGAGTGATTTTGGAAAAACCAAATCTTATGTTTGTGCATATGTATGTAAATATAGCATCGTCTTGTAGCATTAACACAGTATATAAATAATCAGTACCTGGCTTTATACCCTCCACAGTCTGCCCTCGTGGGCCCTCTAGGTCTGTACATAAAGAACTTTCTCATTTGTTCTCATTGCTGCGTGGTTTTCCAGAGCACAACACGCCGTTGTTTATTTAACGGTGATTGTGAACTGGTGACCCGTGGGCCAGAGTTGGCCTTCAGAAATGCTTGTGTGGCCTGCACAGTGATTAAAAATGTCTTACTCAGATGCTAACCTTAAAAACACAAGAAGATTCTACAGGAACTTCTGGGTTTTCAGCGTCTTTTGAAAACTCAGGCTCCCTGGCTGTGCTGGGCCATGTTTCTCCGTTGGGCCTGAGGGGCTGGTCAGTGAGCTGAGTAGGTACCGCCCCGACCCTCCCCTTCCCTACGGGCCCCTTCCTGCCCTCCCACTTGACCTGCCTTCCCTGGAGGCAGTGGGATTGGAGACCCCGGAGCAGTCTGTTCCCTCTCGATGGTCGGCTGGGCGGTGTCTGACGTCTCCGGAGTGGAGCTGTGCCGAGCCTGCTCGTGTGGTCTCCACGTGCACGTGGCCTGGCGTTGCTCGGCTCAGACCCTGGGGCGGGAGACTGCTGCTCGGCGTTTCATGTCCCTTCCCCTGCTGTGTAAGGAAACGCCGTTCAGGCAACATGTATTTATTGAGCAGCTACTATGGGCCAGGTGCTGGGGACACAGGGGTGAATGCAACAGACAGGCCCCTCGCTCCTGTCCACTGAGGTGAGACAGGCAAGAAGCAAGTCAACGCTTAAAGGGCTTCCCTGTAGCCTCTCTCCCACAGGAACTCCCAGGGCTGGTGGCCCGGACTGCGGGTGGATCTGTAACCACCCCCTTTGTGCTCTGTCCCTACAGGGGATAAGGACCGGGCATGCAAGGTCAAAGGTCACCTGTGGAAGCTGTTGTCCCCAGCCAGGCTGGCCGTCCGGGCGCACAGGAGCAGCTGGCTGGAGAGTTACCTGCTGCACCTGGAGGAGATGGGCGCGTCGGAGGAGATGCAGGCGCGGGCGCTGCTGCTGCAGCTCTGGGCCACGCAGGTGGGCATGCGCGTGCGCGCGGGTCCGGGCAGGGGTGTGTGTGTGTGTGCGCGTGCGCGTGCGCGCACACGTGCACATGTGTGCTGTCAGGCACACACCGGTGCGTGGGTGAGTGCACACGTGTGCCTGCATGGGAGCGTGGGTGTGCATTTGTGAGCGTGCATCAGTGTGAGTGTGCATGTGGGTGTGCACACACCTGGCTGTCTGCCCAGTTCCCTGCCTCTGTTAACTGTGACACAGTCTCATGAGCAGGATCATTCATTCAATATTCATTTTTTTTTAATTTGGAAAAATGTTAGACTTCTAGAAAAGTTTTATGAATAATAATGAACTCTTATATACATTTCACTTTGATTCTTCAATTTTTAACATTTTACCACATTTGCTTTCTGTCTCTCGCACTGTGATTATTTTATTGATTTATTTGCAAATAAGTTGCAGACATTGTGACTATCTACCCCTAATTACTTCAGCGTGCACCTCCCAAGAGCAAGAATATTCTCCTCCACGACCACAGCACAATGACCAAATTCAGGACACCTGACCCAGATATGGGGTCATGATCTAATTTACATCCATATTCCAACTCCGCAGCTGTTCCAGTAATGTCCTTCATGGCTCATCTTGGTCCAGCATCCAGTCCAGATCACGCGGTACATTTAGTCATCCTGCCTTTTTAGATTTCTTTAATATGGAACAGTTTCTGTGCCTTTCATTGTTTTTCATGACCTTGACATTATTGAAGTGCAGACCAGTAAATCTGAAGAATCATTTAAAAGTTCTTGCTTTGTGTTGCTTATGTTTTAGCTGGGGGTGGGGGTGGGGCAGACAGGCATGGAGACCGCTACAGGGTGTTTTTAGATGCTGATATGCAGGATATAAAACCAGGTCATGAATAGAGAGATCCTGGGGGTCCACTCTAGCCAGGTGGTCAGGAAGGCCTCTCTGAGGAAGAGCTATTTGAGCTGAGCCTGGATGATAAGAAAGAGCTGGATTTGGGGACTTGGGGAAGATGTGGGGATAGAGTATTCCAGGCAGGGGAAACAGCAAGCGCAAAGGCCCTGGGGTTGGGTCACGCCACGTGTTTGGGCAACAGCAAGGAGTGGAGTATGGCTGATGCAGAGTGAGGAGGGGAGGTGGGACTGAGGGACGAGATCATGGAGGGCCTTGTGGGTCCTAGTAAGTGGGGACTCGGGGTTTTCTCTGGGTGATGTAGGAGCCCTGGGAGGGTTCTGAGCAGAGGAGGGACAGGATCTGAGGAGCAAGGGCAGAGCAGGGACACCAATGAGGAGACAATGCTGCCAGGACTGGGGGTAGCCATGGAGGTGATGAGGAAGTGGATAGCTTCTGGAAACAAAGGGAAGACAGCACCGGTGGATTTGGTAATGGACCGGCTATTGGAGTGAGAGAAGGCAGGCTGAGGATGCTGCCTCTCTGGGCCTGGCTCTTGCCCTCTCCCCGACCCTGAGGCCCCCCCTTCTCTTGGTGTCGCCCCTGCAGTGACAGGTGCACAAGCTGACATTTCTGGGTAATTCCTCTCCCATCGACTTGCAACTTATTTTTAGTTTTCTCTCAGAGCCATTAACTGCCCTTGCCGGCAAAGACTGGCAAGGGCGGGGCTGGGTTTAATCAGCAGTTGGGGCCCCATTAGTGCCTAATAACATATTTGTGGGCAGAGACTTGGAGCTCCAAACTGTCCCCAGAATCCCTTGCAGAAATGACCTCTGTCAGCGGAACTGGACGCTGGCCTGGGGGCTTGAGTGGCCAGAAGTCCAGGGCACAGCCTTTGGCGGGGCCGGGAAGACTGGGCAGGAGGTGGGGACGGGACGTTCTCTCAGGCTGAGTTGTCGTCCAGAACTCAGCAAGTGGGAGACCTTTCGAGAGCTCGAGTCCCCAGAGTGGGGCCGAGACACTGCGTGGCCCAGTGGCTTCAGGCACAGGCTCTGTGACCAGCCTGCCTGGATCTGAATCCTGACTCTGCCCCTTCCTAGCAAGTCACTCACTTAACTTTTCAGTGCCTCAGTTTACTCCTTTGTAAAGTGGAGACGGCGGCACCTTCCTCAAGGTGTTGTGCTGAGGATGCAAGGAAGGGACACGTGAAATCCTGTAACCGTGCCTGGCAGATAACTAACCAGAGCTCGGTAAACATATTCACAAATATTTAGTGAGGGCCCACCGTGTGCCAGGCATTGTTCTAGAAGCTGGGGACAGAGCAGTGAGCAGAACAAAGATCGCTGCCCTTATGAGCTGACATTCTGGTGGAAGAAGACAGACAATTAATAAGTATATAAAATATATTAGAGGTAACAAGTTCTATGGAGAACAGGTAAAGCAAGGGAGGGGGCTACTTCATATGGGGGGTTGGTCAAGGACAGCCTCACCAAGAAGGTGATATCTGAGCAGAAACTCGAAGGAAGTGAGGGAACGAGCCATGTGGATATACAGGATGAGGGCATCCAGGCAGGGGGCAGCAGGTGCAAAGGCCCTGAGGTGGGGATGAGGGGCATGTGGCAGGGAGGTAGCAGGTGCCAGACCACACAGGGCCCTGTAGGTCATGGGGAGGACTTTGGCTTTTTCTCTGAGACGGGAACCCTTTGAGGGCTCTGAGCAGAGGAGCAATATGGCCTGCCTTCTGTTTTAAGGGGTCATTCTGGCTACATTGCTGAGAATAGACTGTAGGAGGTGGGGAGTGGAGGCGGGGAGGCCAGGGAGGAGGCCACTGCAATATTCAGGCATGAGAGGATGGTGCTGGACCAGAGGGCAGGGGAGAGTTATAGCACTCTGGGTGTATTACCAGGTCAGTGGACGGGACTTGCTGTTGGACAGGACATTGAGAGGGCATCAACAGGATGGCTCCAGGTTGGGCCTGAGCAGCAGGGAGGATGAAGTTGCCATTAACAGCTGAGGAAGATGGTGGAAGGAGCAAGTTTGGGGAGAATATCGGGGGTTTCGTTTGGGGCATGCTGAGTTTGAGATGGAGAATGGGTGGGGAGGAGCGTCTGGAGAAAAGGCGAGTCTGGAGTTCAGGGTCAAGGTCCAGGCTGGGAGTTGACGGCGTAGAGATGGTGGTTAAAGCCACTGGGCTGGACACTACCGGGGGTGAGGGTGGGTGGAGAAGGGGGCTGAGCTGGGCCTCTCTGGGTGTGCGGGTCAGAAGATGAGGAGGAGCCAGCAAAGGAGACCAAGGGGGAGCGGGGGTGGGGGTGGGGTGGGGGAAGAGCCAGAAGGGAGCACGGCCTGAAGGCTGGTGCAGAAAGTGTTCCGAGAGGTTGGGAAATGGTGGCTGTGATTGCTGCTGTCAGATCAGAGTGGAGTTGGGAAAAATAATCTTGAAAAATATCGAGCACCTACCACGTGCCAGTCATCCTGTTGAGCGCTTTACAAACATCATGTCATAGGCTCCTTGCAAAGGCTCCATAAATCCAGAACCCCAGAGCCTGGGTCGATCCAGGAGCCTAGAAGAGGACCTGGTGGGCTGAGATCTAAGGTCCAGGCAGAGAGGAGAGGCCGGCTCTCAGGGGACGTGGCTTGGGGTGGGCAGAGGGAGGAGAGTTCACGGAGATCTGCCCCAGCAGGCCTGTCGGTCCAGGCTTCCCTCCCACCTCTGGGCTGTTCGTCAGCCGGCAGCCCTGGTGGCCCTGGTGATGCCCAGACTTCCTCGGCCCTATCCGTCAACTTTCATCCTTCTCTCCCTTCCCCACCTCTGGCTCGGCCCTCAGCCCTGATCCTATCCTCAGCCGCCATGGCCCCACGGCCCCAGGAACTCCTGGGTGGCTCTGCGGGGGTGGGGAGAGGGGACTGTGGGAGCCACAGGGGCACCGGGGCTGCAGACAACACAGCTGAGACAGTGACCACGGGAGCTGAGGGTCCCTGAGGCCCTGCGCCCTGGCATGGAAAGCATGAGCAGAGTCCCGGTCAGACAGCCGGGTGGAATCCCAGCTCTGCCGCTGGCTACTTGTGTGACCTTGAACAAGTCACTTGGCTTTTCTGGGCTTCAGTTTCACCGTCTGTAAAGAGGGGGTAACGAGTAATAGCCGTGTACAGGATTGGGGGTTTTTTCTTCAGTAGTTTTATTCTGAGATAGTTTTGGAGTGTTGAAGAGTTGCACAGATAGTAGAGTTCCCAATACCTTCACCCGCTTCCTCTGACGTGAACATCTTACAGAACCGCAGTGCATTTATCAAAACCAAGAAATTAGTGTTGGCACATCTATTAACTAAGAGGCCATACTTCACTCAGATTTCCCCAGTTTTTCCACTAATGCCCCTTTTCTCTTCCAGGATCCAATCCAGGGTACCACATTGCATGCAGGGTAATTTTTTTTATTCCCTTAAAATTTTTTTCACAAAAAAATGAGAAGGAGTGTAATCTGTGGTCTCCATCGCTCAGCTCTGCTCTCCTCTGGGGTGGCTCCAGCCTCAGACGGGCTTCCCCAGGTGGTGCAGCGACAGCCACCAGCTGCTCCTGGCCATCTGGCAGTCCCCTGTGGAGGAGGGCTTCTCTTTCCTGTGAATTCAAGCACAAATCCCAAGTCTGCCCCTCATTGGCCCAGCCCTGGTCACGTGTCCCCTCTGAGTCCATCACTGGCAGAGTAGCCGGCCTGGGTCACGTGGCCACACCTGAGGTGGGGGGGGGCAGCCCCAGATGATCTACGGAGGTGTAGAGTGAAGTGGAGGTGGTTCTCTGAAGGCCAATGGGGTGCTGTTACCCAAAAGGGAGGGAGCAGCGGGGCAGGCGGGCTGCAGGTGTCCCCCACTCCCACTGACTGACAGTGCGGGCGGGAGGCCTCAAGACAGCGCACGTGAGTCGCCCAGCACCGGGTCTGGCCCCAGTGAGCGCCCCCTGGAGGTCAGCTCCCGCCTGTGAGCATCCCCAGTCACAAACGATAGAACAGGCGCTGCTGTGCTCTGGTGATGGAGCAGGTGAGGCACTTTGGCTGCAGTGGGAGAAAATGAGGTTAGACCAGAAATGTCCTCCTGGGTAAACTGAGGCAAGACCCCAAGGGAGAAAGCTCAACTTCCAGGATAGTGAATTCAGAATCTCTTATGGTTGTGCGATCACACAGACACACGTGCGTGCAAACACACACACACACACACCCATCTGTGCAGCTGGGTGGAAGGCGGTCTTTGTCACCTCCCTAACTTGCCACAGCTTTTTCCTGACAGCAGGGATAACTGAGCAGCCTCGTGTTCCACTCCTGCTTTGTAATTAATGAACAGTGGCCCCCATCTGACCCCTCAGGCAAGATAAAATGGCTTTGGCACTGAGTTAACCCAAAGCTGAATAATTTATCACCTACGTTCCCCTGGCTATTTAAGTGATGGACAGCAAGTGACCTTGCTTGTCTCCGCCAGACCTGGGAAGCTGGAGGAAATCTCAGAAAGAGTCCAAGGCCCCCACTTGTTCTCAAACCCAGGGGAGGGGCCGGGGGGAGGAGGAGACCACTTCTGAGCACCTACTCTGTGCCCAGCACAGTCTCAGCGAACCCTTGTGGCCGCCCCAGGAGTGGGCACGTTATTATCCCCATTTTACCAAGAAGGAGTCATCGGGAGTGGGGAGCTGGGATTTGAACCCAACTCTGCCAGGTCCCAGCCCTCCTCCCAGGCTGCCTTGGAGGCCCTCGGCCAAAAGGAACACAGATTTTTATTTGACAGATGCCACTGAGCCCCCGCTATGTGCTTGGCAGGGGTAGGGACGGGGAGTGCTTAGTGTTCCTTTCCAGTAGCAGGCGTGACAATGGTGCCTGCTCAATGGGAGGACTGAATGAGGGAACGTGGCACCTCCTTGGTGCTGACTTCATCACAAAAGCTAAAGAAAACGAAAGATAGAAAATCTGTTTCACCATCGTTGATGCTTTGGTGCATTTCTTTACTGACTTTTTCCGTATGTTTTTCTTCTGTGGTTAAGATCATGCAGTTTTTTTAATCCAGCTTTAATTTTACTTAATATTGTGTCATGAGCATTTTTCCATGTCATTGCAGGTCACTGTAAAAATCATTCACTTTTGTTTCACGTAAAAGGAGTGCATCCATTTAAAAAATTCAAACAGTTTCAAAGGACATATGCAGCGAAAAGCCAGTCTGCCCTCCCTGTCCTCCCATCCTCCCAGCTTCTGTCCCAGAGGCAACCTCGGTTGCCAGTTTCTTGTGTCTTCTTCTAGAGATGGTCTGTGCTTCTTCTTCTCTATCCCTCTTGAAACATCCACACAAATGGAAGCGCGCTGCGCCCCTGTTCTGCATCTTGCTATTTGCGTACTTTAGTGCATCTTGGCTGCAGTCTCATACCAATATGCGCAGAGCCAGCTTCTTTTTGATGCCTTCCTGTACCGTCTTCTTCTGGCTGGATCATCATTTATCTCATTGATCTCCTATTGTTAGACATTGAGGTTGCTTTCAGTCTTTTACTGTTAGGTCAGCGCTGCTATAAACATCCTTGTGCAAATGTGTTTTTGTCTGTGTGCAATTATGTCTGTAAAAGAATGACTGGGTAAACGTGATATTTAATGACTATTTAGTATTTCTTATTATGATTGGATAGGATAGTCATTTATGGTAGACACAAATCTTCCCCAAATTGAGGTCAGGTGGTATTCACCCGTGTCTCGTTTAAGGGTGCCCCATACACACTTTAGTTACGAGCTGAATACCTGAGTATTAAAATGTTCAACCAAGGCTGAAGTCTTGGAGCAAGAAATTCAATCCATTTTCCTAATTATTTAACTATTGGGAAATTTTAAATAATTTTTGTTCAACAAATCACTAGCTTTCACGGTCATCATTGACTATCGCTGCTTTGCTTTGTACGTACACAATCCTCAAATATTTGAAAGCAAATATTCAGATACTGTATCAGTTCGTTATTGTCGCGTTAACAACCAACCACAAAAACCCAGTGGCATACACGATGAGCGTTTATGTAACTCACGTGTCTGTGGGTCCACTGGGGGTCAGCTGGTCTAGACTGGGCTCCGCAGGAGAGCGCAGCTCTGCTCCCTGTGTCTCTCATCCTCCTCTTGGGACCAGCGGGCCAGCCGAGTGAGCGGAAGCACACAGGTCTCTCAAGGCCCAGACTGTGAGCTGCTGGTCTGTCAATTCTGCCTCATTCTGTTGGCCCAAGTAAGTCACATGGCTGAGCCCAAATTCAAGGGGCCGGGGAAATACACTCTGCCCCTGTAATGGGAGGGAGTGCAGAGTCACACGGTAAGGGGCATGGATGCAGGGAGGGGCAGACAGTCAGGGCCAAGGATGCAGTCATCCTCAGATGTTAACTATAATCTGAATGGACACACTTTGTTCCTGTTACTGATAGTGTTTTGCTGATTAGCTATGAAGGTTACCTACGTGACCTCAGACCAGTGATTTTGCTCAAGGTCAGGGATGCCAAGAATGGCCTTAAAGTAGGCGTTGGGCTACGCCAAAGCCACAAAGCATATTTTGGCTGTGTCCTGTCCTGCCTAGATGTCTGGCAGGGGTGGGAACCTACTGATCCCCGTGCCTTGGCCAGGGCTGTGTCCGTGGCACAGACCAGCCAGCTCTCACCCCACGTTTGCTGTCTGGATGGGGCTCCTTCTCATTGCAGGGGAATATGGGTCCTGCCGCCTTCTGGCTCCTGCTTTTCCTCCTCAAGAATCCCGAGGCCCTGGCTGCCGTCCGTGGAGAGCTCGAGCATGTCCTCTTGCAAGCGGAGCAGCCTATCTCGCAGATGACCACCCTCCCACAGAAGGTTTTAGACAGCATGCCTGTGCTTGGTGAGATGGCCAGACCCTCCAAGATAGCCCCAAAGACCGGGTCATCATGGGCCCCCTCAGCCCTCCCCAACATGGGCTCTCATCGTCCAGGGTCCGTCCGTGTCCGCTGACCTAGGCTCCCCCTGGGCCTCCTATCTTAGACTTGCCACTTTGGTTGCGGGTGGCAGAAAACCTAACTTAAACTGGCTGAAGCAGAAAAGAGACTTTATTTGGGGCATGTAACTAAAAAGTCCAAAGGTATCTGGCTTCAGGCATAGATGGATCCAGGGACTTTAGCAATGTCCTCAGGACTCGGTCTCTCTCCATCTCTCAGCCCTGTTTTCTGCTGGGATGGCTCCAGTCTCAGGCTGGCAAGATGGCTGCTAGCAGCCGCAGGGTGACATGTTCTCGGCCTGTGAGGGTGTGCTTCTCTGCAACATTCCTACCCAAAGTCCCAGGAATGTGTCTCATTGGCTCTTTTGGGTCATATATCCATCTTGAACCAATCATAGGATTCAGAGGGTTGGGATGCTCTGATTGGCCAATCCCAGGCCAATCCCAGGAGTCGGGGGTGAAATCAACAGCCTAACCCCTGAGAGTGGGAGAGGAGTGGCCCCCAGAGGAAAATCGGGAAACTGTTTCCAGAAGGGGAGTGTATGCTGGACAGGCAGAAACAACCAATATTGGTGGCCCTGCTCTCTCCCTAGCCTTCTCTGATATCTCCCTAGCTCCCACCTTCCCTCACAGCTTTTCCTCTGGTCAGACGCAAACCCTCACGTCCAAGGTCTCTGAGGGACGGTAGCAATCACATCTCATCACCTGGCCTTTTTTGCCTCAGTGCGACAGTGGGCAGGTCGTGCACTGTCTCTGAGCCTCCCTGCTTTCCTCTGTAAAATGAGGGCTGAGGGTGGCATTGGAGTGGGTGAGAGGACCTGACCCTTCCCTGTCCCTGCCCCTTGCAGACAGCGTGCTGAGTGAGAGCCTCAGGCTCACGGCCGCGCCCTTCATCACCCGCGAGGTCGTGGTGGACCTGGCCCTGCCCATGGCAGACGGGCGGGAATTCAACCTGCGACGTGGTGACCGCCTCCTCCTCTTTCCCTTCCTGAGTCCCCAGAGGGACCCGGAAATCTACACAGACCCAGAGGTAAATGGCATGCCAAGGACGGAGGGAAAAATCAGTGGCTTCGGGATCAGTGAGATCTGAGTGGCAGCGCAATTCTGCCCTTTGTTTGCTGTGTGACCTTTTCACCTCTCTGTGTCCCTGTTTCTTCACCTGTGAAATGGACCTCATAATAGCACCTGCCTCACAGGGTTGTCAGGAAAATTAAATGAGATCCTGTAGGAAAGGCTTTCACAGCACCTGGCATACACGGAGTACTTTGTAAGTGACACCTGAGCAAGTTTCTTTTTTTCAGAATGTTATAATGTCAGCTTCTCAACACGTTTTCCTCTCCTTAGACTTCGAGATGGGGCAAACTTTCACAATTGCTAATAGATTTGGGTGCCTGCTATATGCCGGGCCCTGTGCTATACATGTGCTCATCCATCCACACCTCCATCCATGCACCCATGCACCCATCCACTCACCCATCCTCCTACCCACCCACCCATCCATCTTCCCACCCATCCATCCTTCATCCACCCATCCATCCATCCACCCATCCATCCATCCATCCATCTACCCACCCAACCACCCATCCATCCATCCATCCACCCACCCATCCATCTACCCACCCATTCATCCTTCATCCATCCATCCATCCACCCATCCATCCACCCACCCACCCACTCATCCACCCATCCACCCATCC